AAAAAAAAAAAAAAAAGGATAACATGATCAAATTTGAGTCTTTAATTTGACAATTTCGCTATACAACTTATGGAAATATTTAAAATTATTCTCAAATAATGCATTGACTTGTGTACTAAAATAAATTAGTTTACTAAAAGATGTCAATATATCAATTTACGTTGACTTCATGAAAGAGTTATTCAGTGCTTTGTCGAATTTATACTTTAGTTGATTCTAATTAAAGCTCGAAAATATTATGTGACGCTCGTATTTGTCGATATATATATATATTCTGAAAAGTATAACAAGTCGATTTGCTTAACAATGAAGCTAATGAAATCCTTGACAGAATTTGTGATCTCTCATATATAGCATAGGCCAAACTTGATTGGATTGCCCACAACAAAGTCAAACGAGATCACTAAAAAGTTCAAAGATATATAATGATCCATCATGAATGCTCACTTTCATTTTTTAAAGATAACCCCAATCTTATTTCACACACACACACACACAAAAAATAAATAAAAAAAAAAATATTTGCAAGTTTATAACTTTTAGTTTTTCATTTTTCCTCAATACATGATATACTTTTTCCAGTAAAAAATGTTCTTAGCCAGCCCTAAGGAATTATAAGTCATCATAAATTTCAATATAGGCTATGTTCGGTAACGAATTAAACAAGTTTATAACTTAATATTTAGTTAGTTTATAAGATTCATGTATTTAAATAAACTTCGTTTGATAGGAGCAGTTTTTTTTTTTAAAAAACTCGAGCTTATCTCATAAGTTTCTTTGGATAGGTTTGCAAATAAGCTTATTGAAAATTTTATTTCAGCTACCTTATCAGTTAATTTTACCATCATATAAGCTAGTTTTTCAGCTAAATAAGACATAAACTATAAGCTCGAAAATCACTTATAAGCTATAAGCTCGTTTATCAACTACCAACTAGCTATAGCAACCTAAACGCGACTCTCTAAATAAAACATACACAAAATAAGTATGCATTTTTTGTTAGAAAAAGTATGATTAATCGATTCTTCTAAGAGTCGGTCTGCCTCATACGTACAATAATCTGTCTATCAGAGGTAGTTTATCAATTAGTTTTACCAAACATAATAAGTTTTGTTCGATAGGACGAGCCTTTTTAAAAAGCTCGAGTTTATATCACAAACTTCTTTAAGTAGTTTTTCAAATAAGTCAATTGAAATCATTGTTTCAGCTAGTTTACCAGCTAATTTTACCAAACACTTTTATCATATAAACTTGTTTTTCAACCATAAGTCATGAACTATAAGTTTTAAGCTCAAAATTCAAAAGTGATAAGTTAATTTATCACGTAGATTTACCAAATATAGCCGTACAACGATCTGTCTACTTTTTTTACACCCCATATTCTTTCTTGGTTCGTAATTTACCTTTCCCCGCGGTAAAAAGCTTATATTATTACTGCATGCAGTTACAACGGCACTCGGGCTTACGCGCAGTCAAAAGTAGCCAACATATTGCATGCCAAGGAACTATCAAGACAGCTTAGGGTAAGAAAATCCCTAGAAAGATATATGTCTTATTATTATTATTATGTTGTCATATCAAAATCTTTGCCATTTTCAGAAGGGGCATGCAATAAGGGATTTTATTTGTCCCTCTTTATCGGTAAATATTACGGTCCCGTTATGGAACCATTCCGCCGAGGTTTGTAACCGTTAGATTATCATTTAACCGTCAGGAAACGTTGGGTTACAAATTCTAACGGAATGGTTCCGTAACGGGAACGTAGCATCTCCCCTGTTTATTTGTTAATAATGCTTTTCTAATTATTTTGAAGCCCCTTTTATTTATTTATTTATTTATTTTTTGTCCAGGCAAGAAAATCAAATGTTACTGTCAATGCTGTGCATCCAGGGATAGTCAAAACTGGAATTACTAGAGACTACAAAGGCTTTATTACAGGCATGCATGCATTTTTATCATTATCATTTGAAAAAATTGACCACATTTTTATTTTTTTAGGATTTGGTCCTTTCTTTTTGGCCCTTTTGGGTTTTTGATTCATATGTTTTATTTATTTATATATTTTGTTTTCAGATTCTTTTTATTTTGTGGCATCCAAGCTGCTGAAGTCAACATCACAGGTTTGTCAAATTGACATCCATGTTTTCTTGCTTTTAAGGGTGTATTTAGTTGGTTAAGATGCATGAAAAACTAGCTTATACATATAGCTGATAAGTTATCTAATTTAATAGCTTATAAATGAATTTCGAGCTTATACTTACAGTAATCGATAGCGTATAGTTGAAGAACTAGCAAATATAATAAAATTGTCAGGTAAAATCAACTGATAAATAGTTAGGTAAAATTTTAACAGGTTTTATCGAAAAACTACCTAGATACAAAATATCTTCGAGTTATATTATTGCTTGTTCCATGTTCCATTGGCAATTTGGGCTAAGTGTCATTATCTTGAGTAATGTCAAATTATGAAGAAAAAAAAATGAAACTGATCATATATGATAAAAGATTTTATAAGCTTTTATGTTATATTTTTTTCTATTAACTTAAATTTTATTATTTGTGTACATTTTCAGGGTGCTGCCACAACATGTTATGTTGCATTAAGTCCAAATGTTGAAGGCATCGGCGGCAAGTATTTTGCCGACTGTAACGAGACTCAGTGTTCGCCGCTGGCTAACGACGACATTGAAGCTAGGAATCTATGGAAGCAAACTCGTGCTTTCATAAAAAGGCGATTTTATCTGCCCGTTACCCCAGATTTGGACGGCTAATGACTCGATTTTACGAAGAAATAAAAAAAGGAAAGGAAAAACATGGCTAGGATTTAGACATGTAAATAATATTACAGTCTATATTTGAAGACATAAGGCAATTTTTACACATTATGGTCTATTGTGATAGCCTTAGCAAAATTATTAAAAAAAAACAGGGTAAATATGAATGCCTTTGACTCTTGATTGTTGAGTGCACATTAAGAACCACAAGTTCTTGATTGTTTTTTGTGTTTTTTTTTTCTGTAGATTGTATTGCATAATAATAATACTATGTGTTGTTATAATCATTATATGCAGTGAAATACAAAAAATAATATCTTTGTGCTACAATAGTTTGATCCTCACATAAATACATAATTTCATCCTTCAAGTGCATCTTGAACACACACACACACACAAAAAAAAA